GCCCTGAGGGAGCGCGCGACGCGCCTTTCCCGCCTCAGCCCTGAGGGAGCGCGCGACGCGCCTTTCCCGCCTCAGCTCTGAGGGAGCGCGCGACGCGCCTTTCCCGCCTCGCCCGCGCGCGAGGGGGTTCGCGGGGGGGGGGGCGCTCGCGGCACGCGCCCAGCGGCACGCGCCGCCCCGCCGCGCGCGCAACGGCTGGGGGCGGGGCCAACCGACCCCCTCGCCACGCCCACCGAGCCCGGTTCCCTCTTCCACAAAGCCCGGAGAAAGGGGCGGGGCCGGGCGCGAGGGGCGCGCGCGCGCGGGGCCGCGCGGCGATTGGCTGGGGCGGCGGGGGGAGGGGCTTAACGGGCGCTGCGCCCCCGGGCCGGGCAAAGCAAAACAAAGGCGGCGGCGGCGGCGGGAGCGCGGGGCTCGGCAGGGCTCGGCTCGGCTCGGCACGATGCCTCGGCCGCCCCTCGGCCCTCGGCGCGGCACACGCGCGCCCGGCCCCCGTCTATGACCCGCCCGGCGGCCACCGCCGAGACGGTACCTTCGAGGCGAGGGAAGCCGTCGTGTCCCCCCCCAAATCCCCCCTCTTTGTTTGAAGGTGAGGGCCCGGCGCAGAGCCCTCGCTGACCGCCGCGTGAGCACCGGGGGTCCCGCCTCCCCTCCTGCCCGTGCCCCCTGAGGGAGAGGGGCCCGGGGGCTGCTCATAGCCCGGGCTGGGAGCGGAGCCGGCGTAGCGGTGAGTACCGAGCGGGCGAGGAGCGGCCGCTCTCCCTTGCGCTGGGATTTATTGTTTGGGGCGGGGGGGCGGCTGCCAGAGGAGCCCCGAGCTGCCTCCGGCCGGGGGGCCGGGGTCTGGCGTGTGCGCGGGGCCGCCGAGGCAACTTCGGTGGCGGGAGGAGACTCGGGCGCTATTTATAGCGCCTGGAAATGACGGCAGCGCTGTCTGCCCGCAGCCTCCTCGGCGCGGGGCGGGTGGGGGCGGTTTACATAATTGAGGGGGGGCGAGGCTGAGCTCGGCGGGCAGGGGGACGGTGCGGACTGCCCGCGCTGCCCCCGCCCGGAGCGGGGCCGGGCGCGGTGTGTCCCCGCACGGAGCCGGTGGCCGGAGCGGGGACTACGAGCCGCTGTCCTGCGGGGATCGCTGCGGGGGTGGAGGGAGAAGAGGCGGCGGCGTCACCCGCACGGCAGTTTCGTGCTCCGGCGTGAGAGGAAACGGCTGAAAGGCGCACGGGCAGCGGCACTCGCCCCGCGGGGGGACGGAGTGCCAGCCGATAACTTTCTCCGCGCTTCTTCTCTCCTATTTCCCGGTACCTGAAGTGACAATGAGGCTCCCGTGGCTCAGTCTTTAACTTTGTGAGCCTTCCACTGCCGGAGCGATCGCACCGCGGGTTAGCGAGAGCGCGCGCACCGGCCGCGTCCGGCTTTGTGCAGCTGCCCAAAGACTCTTTAAGCTTATTTCGCGTCGTTCCTCTCATTAAACACAGAAGGAACGACGCGGGGAGGCCGGTTTCCGACACGTTTTCCCCTCTCCCCACACGCGGCAGGAAGCCGCTGTTTCCCGGCCGGCGCCGGGCCCGCACCGCTCCGGGCACAGCGGGGCCCGTGCGGGGTGTCCCCCCCCGCACCCCCGACCCCGCCACACTTATCGGGGTGTTTGTTTACACATCCGGGCCTCTCGCGGGGCGGGGCCGCCCCCCCGCCCCATTGGCTGCCCCGCGCACCGCCCCGGTGACGTCACGCGGCGGGACAGGGCCGCGCATCGCCCGCCCCCGGGGGCACCGCGGGCGGACCCGGACCCGGGGGTCGGACCCGGACCCGGGGGCACCTTCGGGGCCCTCGGGACCCCCGGGGCGGCCCCAGGAGGAACGCGGAGGTCGGTCGGAGCGCCCGGTGCAGCCGGTGCGCCCGGAAGTGCCCCTGGGCGCTGGACTGGTAGGTGCGAACACACGTAGATCGTGGGCAAGGACCGCCGTGCTGCCGTCAGAAAATTAATAATAATAATAATGCTGTTCTCCGTAGAGGAATGGACAGCAGCTGTGGAACTGCTCCTGACTGTCAGGGGGAAGTGAAACTGGGTTTATTCACCGTTTTTAGAGGAAGCTAAGAAATGGTTTGGTTTGAATTTTGCCTTTAACAGCACAAAGCAGCAAGTCTCTGGTTCTTAGGGTGTGTATCGAACACAGTTGCCTTTTTGAATCAAATACAGTTTTGTCAAATGAGATTTGGAATTCTTAGGATCGTAGAATCGTTAAGGTTGGAAAAGACCTCTTAGGATCATTAAGCCAGCGCTGCCAAGGCCACACTAACCCACGTCTACAAGTGCCACATCAACACCTACTGAACTTCTGCAAGGATTGAACTTGTGTTTCAGTTACAGAGGAAAGGAGTTTAAACCAAAGTCAAGACATGTTTGGTGCCTTTCATTCTGAAACCCTGAGAGAGTGGTAGGGAATGGTGCTGCATCCGGTTGGCGGCCGGTCACTAGTGGTGTCCCCCAGGGATCATTGTTGGGCCCAGTTCTATTTACTGTCTTTATGATATTTACTATCTTGATGATCTGGATGAGGGGATCAAATGTATCATTAGCAAATTTGCAGGTGACACCAAGTTGTGGGGTGGTGTTGATCTGCTAAAAGGCAGGAGGGCTCTTCAGAGGGACCTGGACAGGCTGGAGACTTGAGCTGATTCCAAGCAGGCCAAGTGTCAGATCCTGCCCTTTGGCCACAGCAACCCCCTGCAGCCCCCCGGGCTGGGACAGAGTGGCTGGAGAGCAGCCAGGCAGGAAGGGAGCTGGGAGTGTGGATGGACAGGAAGCTGAACAGGAGCCAGAGTGTGCCCAGGTGGCCAAGAGGCCAATGGATCCTGGCCTGGCTCAGGAACAGTGTGGCAGCAGGAGCAGGGAAGTGATTCCTGCCCTGGACTCAGCACTGGTGAGGCCACACCTCGAGTGCTGTGTCCAGCTCTGGGCCCTCAGCTCAGGAAGGACATTGAGGGGCTGGAGCAGGTCCAGAGGAGAGCAACGAGGCTGGGGAAGGGACTGGAGCACAAGTGCTGTGAGGAGAGGCTGAGGGAGCTGGGGCTGTTCAGCCTGGGGAGGAGAAGGCCCAGGGGAGACCTCATCACTCTCTACAGCTCCCTGACAGGAGGGGGGAGCCAGGTGGGGGTTGGTCTCTTCTCCCAGGAACCAGCAGTAGGACAAGAGGGCTCAGTCTCAAGCTCTGCCACGGGAGGTTTAGGTTGGATATTAGAAAGAAATTTTTTACAGAGAGAGCAATCAGGAATTGGAATGGGCTGCCTGGGGAGGTGGTGGATTCACTGTCCCTGGAGGTGGCATCAGTGCCGTGGTCTGGTAACCGTGGTGGAGTTGGATCAAGGGTTGGACTTGATGATCTTGGAGGTCTTTTCCAGCCCAGTTGATTCTATGATTCTGGTTTTGTCCATTTATTTATATATCCTACAAATAGGATCTGTATCTAACAGTAAGTGTTCAGATGGAGAATTTAACAGGAACCTCATGTTCTTAGGTAATCTTCCTCCTGTAATCTCTTACTTCTAATAAATGACTTACTATGACTACTAGCTGTTCTCCAAAAGTAAGCTGTTTTCTCCAAATAATGTAATCATTCTTCTCTTTGCAGTTGTAATTAAATTATCTTGGGACACGAAGTATATAATATTTGTTTAAATTAGTTTTACTATTTCAGTTCTGCTCTTCATGCCAAATGGGTGAATACTTCAAACATATTAATATATCCCTTATCAAATGTGTTTTTCTTTTCAGTGACAAAAGCCCAATCATTCTGATGTGTAGATGTGTAATTTGGATGGCAGTTTGTTCCTTTATTCCATTGTTGCTTCATTTCTTTCGACTGCCTTTGTTCTGCTACATGTCTTCTTTGTGGCTTATCTCTGCCTTTGCAATTCTTTGTGTAAGAAATTTTCTTGTAGCAAGTCCTTCAGTAGTTCAAGTTTTCTCTCCTGTTATCATCAGCTTAGGATTAAAAAATAACTAAAGCAAACCCTTTAAATTTTGCTGTGGCTGTCTCATGTGCTAGACCTGCTGTACAGATTACTTTCTCAAGACTTCTTTTGAAGCACAGTAGCTGCTTCCTGTAAACCATCTTTAATCTATGTGGCTTTCATTATCTGCTCTAGTTGTATTACTTGTATCTGACTGCTAGAAGAGTGGTTAGCTGCTGCCCTGCACACAGTTTACAACTGTAATAATTGCTTTGCATGCTTAGCTGGCTCAAGATACTGTAAATTCCTTATATTGGCTCTCATTTCTGTGTTTGTGCTATTGATCTACTCTGTCAGTCACCTGATAGCTGATGACATAAGTGACTGGGCAGTGTTTCGTGTTTGCATTGCTCATTAGCTTGATGCACATAGCATGGGAACTGCTGTCCTCTGACGGATCAGTAGGTGTTGTTAGGAGTATTTGGAATCTGTAGTTTTCAGGCAAACCAAAGAGATTTGCTTTCCAGCCTAGCGGGAGGGTCTGGCACACTCTGTACACGTACTGCCTCTAAAGTGCACTCCGAGCATTAAGAATTAAGAATGGGTGTTCTCTGTGCAGAATTTAGCTTTTAGTGTCTGACTGTGACTTTGGTAGCATCTATTAAGACTATTCTGGTACATTGAGGAAGTTCCTAATTAGCTTTGATCAGGACACTGGTCAAGAAGGTCTTTGCCTAAAGGCATAATTGTGCTTGAAAGAGGAATAGACACGGATCCCTGAATAGGGTGGCAGCATCTTACTTGGTTTTTGACTTAAAACCAGGTGTGGTACTGCAAGATTTTTGCTGAAAGCTGAAGCGCAAATATATCTTGTATGTTTACTGTTGGACAGAACAAATATTTTCCAAGATGCTATATTGGAACTGACCACTGGAACTTCAAGGACAATTAACTTTGTCTCATTCCCTGCCTTTTTGCTTTAATTTTCTGCATGGATGTCTTAAAGGGA